TTTACGTATGAATTACGAATAGAAAGGGTGAATATAAAAAGAAAATGCACAACCATCGATGCTCGCCTTACCGTGGTCGTAGTATTATTATCCATTATCCATTCAAAATAGTAATTCCACTATTGACAAATACATCAAAAATCGGTAAATCACGTTCGAGGTAATTAAACATTTGGTGAATATAAAAAGAAAATGCAGAACCATCGATGCTCGCCTTACCGTGGTCGTATTATTATTATCCATTATCCATTCAAAATAGTAATTCCGCTATTGACAAATACATCAAAAATCAGTGATATTGTAGACAAGTCACACACATCCCAGGTAATCACAAATGAAAAAACTTTCACCTGTGGACGCCACAGGAAGAGATCGAAGTCATCCCCGCAATGTAATGTTGAACGACGATAATCTCATGAGACTTCTCACTGGTGCCAAAATCTCTATAGACAAGCTGTCGCCCATTTCATGCGGGTCAAACAGTATCAACAGGAAATATGCTTCAATGAATACTGCCTTGATGTTACGTAAACACTTGACTGCAGTACAACGATTACACCATGCGTAAATATAATTCTCAATTGCATGAAAATTCTTAAACAAAAACATAAAAAAAATCTCAAGTAATTACGCATTGTTTGGATTGCTTCATTTAATTAGCTAAGTGAGAGTTCGGTTGTATTTACATACATGTACGTAATCCGATTTGAAATAAAATGTTAAACACTTAATTAATTGCTATGGATTAATAAAAAAATGATTAACTGAGTGAGATGTATGAAACTTTATATACCGGTAACAATTATGGAAATTCTTGTATATATGATGTAATAAAAACATAGTAAATGATAAAAAAATCAGTTCCCGGGAAAAGTATGATAATTCTTTAACAATCAATTTTTTTCTCAATTTAGTATAAAATTAATACAGAAATAAATCATTAAATGGTTATAAAGCTGTGATACCTGAGCAAAAGTTGTTACATGTATGTTTTTCTTGATAAAATATTAAAATCAAAATGAAAAAGACCGAGAATAAGCTTACGGTCACATACATGTGTAATTGTGTTAACTCGTCCACTCAAATCCGAATTTATATCATTGCACCTCGAATTCCGTATAAGAATCAGCTTAGAATACCATAATGCGAATCGTAACACATTGTGGTCTAAACTGTTGTAAAATAAATGATTTACCACCCGCTTCCACCGAGGCGATATCGCAGACAATAACATGTTGTGTATATATGGTGCAATATTTTACATTGTGATTAGTTAAAACAGGGATTAAATAATTATTAGATATTTATATATATATATGCACAGTAAAAAAGGTATTGAGATTCGTCTTTTAACTACGATTATCATATTAGTCATTAATCACCTCTGAATCTATATCCCCATACACATTAATTACAGAAAGGGTCTGTGTATACACGCCATTGTGAGCGATTCACTTTTTAGTCATCCGATGGTTATTTTGAAAATACACGTACAACACAAAGTCATAGATGTCCGCTGTGACAGTAAAGATTAATTATTTGATTGGTCGAATGCTATTGTTTCATTAATTCCCACCTGTGGCCACCTGTCTGGGTACTATATGAAACCATGTTTTTGAATACACATTCCGTTATTACAGTATGGATTAATGCTTTGATTGCTCAAATGCTATTGTTTTATCACTTCCCACCTGCATTATTTGTGATTGTTTTTAGTGTTTAGTGTGCATACATATAAATACATACAATTTGCTCTTTGTTATTAATTTATCACAGCTAAATATTTGTTTTGTTTGATTTATAAATCCGTTTCGGGAATGTTGATTTTGAGTTAGTACCCAACTTGACAGAAAAATATAACCCTGCTGTCCAATCCCTGTTATGTGGCCTCCCCGACACACATTATTTTTTAAATACCATACATGTACATATATTGTAATAGTGATAAATGTACCTTTGGTTTAATGCAATATGTTTTTTTTTGTTCTGACACTATTTATTCAATAAATATTTACATATTATAAAAGTACACTATATGATTGTGGGATCTGAAAGCAAGTCAGGGCTTATATAAATTCATCTCCCAAGGAAATTATTTACAATAAAATATAAATACTTTGTATAAGATTGTAATCATAAATCGCAAACTGGTATAAAATTACAAGGTAAAAGTGTTTACTCTCATTTAATTAATCAAAACGTTATATTGGATATAGTATAAATCAGTTAAATTACGGAATGTAGTAGAAACGTAGTGGGGTTAGCGAAATTATTATCTGATGCTGTGCTAGTTGGAGAAAGAAAATATTCTTGCGATGGGCGGCATCTGGCGTGCGATGGTGTTACATGGTTAGCCCTGTGTGATCTGTTTGAAAATGGGCGTCAGCCTGTCTATAGAGACTCACAGATAGCGACTTTTTGGCGCCAGTGAGAAGTCTCATGAGATTATCGTCGTGCAACATTACTTTGCGGGGTTGATTTCTCTGCTTGTGACGTCTACAGGTGGAACTTAATTCATTTGTGACTTAAAGAAGATACATTACCTTGTCTGCGATATCACCTCGGTGGAAGCGGAACAACAGATACATTACCTGGGATGTGTGCTTGTCTGCGATATCACTTCTGTGGAAGCGAACGTTAAAACAACAGGTAGTAGTGGGATGTGTGTGACTTGTCTACGATATCACCTCAGGGGAACTGGACGTAAAACTCCAGGAACGAACGAACGAATGGGATTTGATTTACGGCTTTCCAAATGTATAATTACCTCGGACGTGATTTACCGATTTTTGATGTATTCGCACTTCATATGCAAATAATCGTAACATTGGACGTGATTTACCTTCTTGTGATGTATTTGTCAATGGTGGAATCATTATTTTTTTAAATGGATAATGGATAATAATACTACGGTATCCTTTTGATACTGTTGGAAGCCATTCCTGTAGCTTTGTCTGAAAATGAGCGACATCTTGTATACAGATCGACTATTTGGCGCCAGTGAAAAAGTCTCACAAGATTATCACAGTGACACGTGTACATTGCAAGGTCTTTTAGCAACGTGTACAGGTGGAAGGCTATTTTCATTCTTTTGTGATTTAAATTTGTCTGCGATATCACCTCTGTGGAAACGGACGTAAAATACAACTAACTAACAACAATTAAAGAAAATACATTACCTGGGATGTGCTTTACCGATTTCCAATGGTATAATAACATTGGATGTGATTTACCGTTTTTTTATACGCCCACATTGAAATGTGGTCGTATATTGTCGTCGCCCCCGTCCGTCGGTCCGTCCGTCCGTCCGGTGTCCACAATTGCTTGTGGACGCTCTAGAGGCTAAAGTTAATATCCGATTGACTTTAAATTTATATACAGTGTTTAAGGCCATGAGACCAAGAAGCCTATTGATTTACAGCGATTTCCGATAATTACTGCCAGAGTTATGGCCCTTGATCACTTCAACAAATCTTGTGGACGCTCTAGAGGCTAAAGTTAATATCCGATTGACTTTAAATTTATACACAGTGTTTAAGGTCATGAGACGAAGAAGCCTACTGATTTTCAGCGATTTCTGATAATTACTGCCAGAGTTATGGCTCTTGATCACTTCAAAAAAATCTTCTGGACTCTCTAGAGGCCAAAGTTATTATATCCTATTGACTTTAAATTTATACACAGTGCTTAAGGTCATGAGACGAAGAATCCTATTGATTTTCAGCAATTTACGATAATCACTGCAAGAGTTATGGCCCTTGATCACTTTGAAAAATCTTGTGGACGCTCTAGAGGCTAAAGTTAATATCCGATTAACTTTAAATTTATACACAGTGTTTAAGGTCATGAGACGAAGAAGTCTATTCATTTTCAGTGATTTTCGATAATTACTGCCAGAGTTATGGCCCTTGATCACTTCAAAAAACCTTGTGGATGCTCTAAAGGCTAAAGTTAATATCTGATTGACTTTAAATTTATACACAGTGTTTGAGGTCACGAGACGAAGAATCCTATTGATTTTCAAAGATTTCTGATAATTACTCCCAAAGTTATGGCCCTTGATCATTTTGAAAAATCTTGTGGACGCTCTAGAGGCCAAAATTAATATCCGATTGACTTCAGATTGATACAGAGTTTAAGATCTTGAGAAGAACAAGCATATTGATTTTCAATGAATTTTTATGACTTGGAACAGCTAAATCCATGATACAGTATTAAAAGTTTTGTATACAAAACGTTAGCATGGGGCAGAACTTTATAAAAACCAAACAAATTCTAATGGTTTTCTGAGTTGTTGCTCTTAATCAGATTTTAGTGTATTATAAATGTTTCATTACCGAAAAAAGTAAAAATATGCGACAACTCTTGTTGACTGCCCGGACGATTTAGCTGCTGTGGGCGTATGTTTCGTTGCCTGGCAACTTATCTTTGATGTATTTGTCAATGGTGGAATCATATTTTTTTAATGGATAATGGATAATAATACTACGACCACGGTATGGTGAGCATCGATCTATGGGTGTGCATTTTCTTTTTTTATTCACCTTTTCTATTCGTAATTCATACGTAAATAATTGAAATCAAAATAAACGATCGGATAAACGACTTGCGGGAATTAAACGCTTCGTCTAATATTTAAACCCTGTAGATAAATTCATCGGGTGTTAATTTTTTACACGTCTCGGGAAATTAAAGTGCTCGTCTAGTAATTAAACCCATTAGATAAGTAAACGGATACCCCATTTCTAAACACCTCTCGGAGAAATTCAACAGTGTACCATTAAATTAAACGATAGTACTTATTAAACGATTTTTGTAATTTTCAAGCGTTATTATCAATTATCAAACGATGTTTTGAAATTAAACTGTATGCATCGTTATTCGCGCTAAAACAACCATATTAAACGATACCAATCTTATAGTGTTAGCCAGTTGCTCTTGTTCACTTCAGATGCTGTGGGCGTATGTTTGGTTGCCTGGCAATGTATCTTTAATTTCAGATAACATTGGGAGATGCTATGATGGATCCAGCAACACAAATGAGTATCACACAAAATGGAGGAACAACATCTCCAACCCATTCACAGTCTGATGATGGTTGTAGTAAAACAAACCTAATTGTGAATTATTTACCACAAACAATGACCCAAGATGATATACGTTCTCTGTTTTCAAGTATAGGAGAGGTTGAGAGTTGTAAACTTATCAGAGATAAACCAACAGGTTATTATAGCACATCATTTTTCCCACATTGAAATATTGTTGTATATTTTCGTCGGTCTGCGGTCCACAATTGACTTTAAATTTATGCACATTGTTTATGGTCATGAGGTGAAGAAGCCTATTGAGTTTCAGTGATTGCTGTCTGAGTTATTGTCCTTAAACACTTTGAAAAACATTATGAATGCTTGAGAGGCTCAAGTTATCACACAATTGACTTTATATTTATACATAGTAGGCCCTATGTATGGTTATAAGAAGATTTTGATTTCCAACTACTTTTCAGCTAAAAAAAAAAAATCAGTAATTTCATTTCAATAATATGATTTTGAGTAATATTGTTTTATACTAATTTAATTCCTAAATGCCAAGCATACAGATGTGTCAACTAACCTGTTTTTTCGTTGAGACTCCTACGGTACGGAGATCGTGAAATTTTGCCCTATTTTGTTGAAAATTGCCACAATAACGCCACGATATTGCCACGATAAATAACTTGGTGTAGCAGTCGCTATCGTGTGCCACGATAGTCGCTTGACACGATAGGCCTCGGTGTAATTTGATATGTAAAATTAACGATATTTATCAGTCATAAACAATTGATGTCAAAAAGATATACTGCCACGATGTTAACAAACTGCCACGATATTTGAAATGTTGAATAGTTTTGTCAATAATCCTGACACGAAAAGCTATGCTGTATAGAAAGAATGTACATATGCAGTTATATTTCAATGGAGTCACGTAAAGCGGCATGTCTAGCGAAGGACACATATGCGTAGCTTTACAGAACGACTACATTACATTTTCAACATTTATATTGCGTTCGTTTTTTGTTGTTTTTATTTCCGTTTTTCGTGTATACACTTTTTATACGCCCACATTGAAATGTGAAACTTCCAATCAGTAGAAACAGGAAACACAAACCAAATACAGACGGTTTGATGGGATCAATTTTGACTGAGTCAAAATGATGCATTTGATATTCAGATAAGTTGATATAAAATAATTAATAGAATACAATATCAAAAAACCATCGTTTTATCCAAAGTTTCGTCAGTAAAAATACTAACTTCTTCAGGGATGAAGAAACTAAATTCAAAATGACTGGAAGTCAGTTATGACATCATAGGAAGTTATGACATCGTGGGAGTGATGACCTCATAGACTTAGATACATAACGTGAAAGGTTAGCTTAACTAAAACTTAGGTAAAATTTTACAAGTTAGGAAAACTTATGCATGATTATGAATGATTTCGAAACCCCCTGGATTTAACTCATTTAAACCGTTAGGCCAAACTGAATCAGGTCTATGAATCCACAGACTTTCTGCTGTGTTCAATTTTTTCTGATCTTTATCAGGAATTTTTTGTACTATGGTACACACGAAATCATGACCTGGTATATTAAAATGGGAGGTTACATGGGGGGAATGGCCAGGTTTTTTAAGCTTTATATTACTTCTGTGCTTATTAAGTCGAGTGCTGAAAGGAGTAATGGTTTGGCCTACATATTGCATACTACAGGTTTTACATGTTAAACAATATACAACATAAGAACTGGCACAGTTGACAGAGTCTCTAATCTTGAATGATTTCATGTCTTTACTGGTTACTTTTTAACTATTACACATAGTCTCGCATGATTTGCATAATTTTCGTAAACAAGGTTGACATCCGTATGAAATTTTGTCCTTAATATGCTTATTACTAGTGTCAGAAGTTCTCAACTAATTTTCTTTCAAGATATTACCAATAGTGTGGTTCTTCCTCTATGACGTCATCACTCCCACGATGTCATAACTGACTTCCAGTCATTTTGAATTTAGTTCTTCATCCCTGAAGAAGTTAGTATTTTTATACGCCCACATTTTCATGTGGACGTATATTGTCGTCGCCCCTGTCCGTCCGTCCGTCCACAATTTGTTTGTGGATTCTCTACAGGTCACAATTCTTGTCCAATTTTGACGAAACTTGAAATATAGCTTTATCCCAAAAAAATCTCGGCTGCTTTCGATATTGGCATGTATCGGATCGAAACTTCATGGATTATGGCCCCTGTTTGTACGAAAAATCACGTTTTTAGCTTGTGGACCCTATAGAGGTCACAATTTTTATCCGATTTTGTTGAAACTTGAAATGTAAGTTTATAACCCAAAGATCTCAGTTCCTTTTGATATTCGCGCATATCGGACTGTAACTTCCTGAATTATGGCCCCTGATTGTACGAAAAATCGCGTTTTTAGCTTGTGGACCCTATAGAGGTCATAATTATTATCCGATATAAAAAAACGTATTATTATATCACCGTTACACCCTAGGGTCGACTGAGTTCGAATTTTATGAAAATCGGCCCAAAATTGACAGACAAAATGGCTGCCGTTCGTTCTCAAATAGTGTAAGAATATGGTATATCAAGGTTGTGAACCCTATAGAGGTCACAATTTTTGTCCGATTTTAATGAAACTTGAAATGTAAGTTTATAACCCAAAGATCTCGGTTCCTTTCGATATTCGCGCATATCGTACCGTAACTTCCTGAATTATGGCCCATGATTGTACGAAAAATCGCGTTTTTAGCTTGTGGACCCTATAGAGGTCATAATTTTTATCCGATTTAAAAAAACGTATTATTTTATCACCGTTACATCTAGTTACTATACTTGTAACGTTAAACTGTGTGTTTAACGTTACAATTGATACAGTCTAACAATCCTTACGCAAGTTCAAATAGGTTCAAACGCACAATTGTCAACACATATCATTACAGTTTGTATTGGAATAAGTAATTCTATGACAAATAGTGAAGACTGGACCACTAAACAGTTACTAAACAGTTTTTCTTTGTGGTTATGCGTTCTACATTTGCATAGCGGTGTTTCTTGTGATGACGTATTACACACAAGCGGCCATGACACCAGCCTGTTGAAATTTCGCGTAGCAGTTGAGTTTCATCAAATCATATAATTATGCGGTAAGGCTTCACCTTTATTTCAATAGGAATTGATTTATTATATGTTAAGCTAAGTGCAGTACTGTTTTGGGTCAGTTTACATGTAAATTTAGGGAGGTATAGGCCAGTAAACTTTTTGTAGTGATTTCACTAAAAACTTGCGCAAAGGAACTCAGTAAGGACGAGCCACTACTGTGGCTGGAGTAAGGCGGAAGACATCAGTAGTGGTACCATTTCTACGTTACACCCTAAAAACAGCTGAGGTCGAATTTCATGAAAATCGTCCCAAAATTGACAGACAAAATGCCCGCCGTTCGTTCTCAAATAGCGTAAAAATATGATATATCAAGGTTGTGGATCCTATAGAGGTCACAATTTTTATCCGATTTTGTTGAAACTTGAAATGTAATTTTATAACCCAAAGATCTCGGTTCCTTTCGATATTCGCGCATATTGGACAATTGGACCTTAACTTCCTGAATTATGGTCCCTGATTGTACGAAAAATCACGTTTTTAGCTTGTGGACCCTATATAGGTCATAATTTTTTATCAGATTTAAAAAAACATATTATTATGTCACCGTTACACCCTAAGGACGACGGAGTTCGAATTTCGTGAAAATTGGCCCAAAATTGACAGACAAAATGGCCGCCGTTCGTTCTCAAAAAGCGTAAAAATATGGTATATCAAGGTTGTGGACCCTATAGAGGTCACAATTTTTATCCGATTTTGATGAAACTTGAAATACATATTTATAACCCAAAGATCTTAGTTCCTTTCGATATTCGCACATATTGGATCATAACTTCCTGAATTATGGCCCATGATTTTACGAAAAAATCATTTCTTTTTTTGAGCTTGTTCTCTGTCCATCTCTTGCAAAATGTGGGCGTATCTTGCATGGCAACCGCTTGTTACTGACGAAACGTTGGATAAAACTATGTTTTTTTGATATTGTATTCTATTAATTATTTTATATCACATTGAAATGTGGTCGTATATTGTCGTCGCCCCCGTCCGACCGGCGGTCCATCTGTCCGGCATTCCGGCGTCCACAATTGCTTGTGGACGCTCTAGAGGCTAAAGTTAAAATCTGATTGACTTTAAATTTATACACAGTGTTTAAGGTCTTGAGACGAAGAAGCCTATTGATTTTCAGCGATTTCCGATAATTACTGCCAGAGTTATGGCCCTTGATCACTTTGAAAAATCTTTTGGACTCTCTAGATTTTCGATAATTACTGCCAGAGTTATTGCCTTTGATCACTTCAAAAAATCTTGTGGATGCTCTAAAGGCCAAAATTAATATCCGATTGACTTTAAATTTATACACAATGTTTAAGGTCATGAGACGAAGAAACCTATTGATTTTCAACAATTTCCGATAATTACTGCCAGAGTTATGGCCCTTGATCACTTCAAAAAATCTTGTGGATGCTCTAGTGGCTAAAGTTAATATCCGATTGACATTAAATTTATACACCGTGTTTAAGGTCATAAGATGATGAAGCCTGTTGGTTTTCAGCGATTTCTGATAATTACTGCCAGAGTTATGGCCCTTGATCACTTCAAAAAATCTTGTGGACACTCTAAAGGCCAAAGTTAATATCCGATTGACTTTAAATTTATACAAAGTGTTTAAGGTCATGAGACGAAGAAGCCTATTGATTTTCAGCGATTTCCGATAATTACTGCCAGAGTTATGGCCCTTGATCACTTCAAAAAATCTTGTGAATGCTCTAAAGGCCAAAATTAATATCCGATTGACTTTAAATTTATACACAATGTTTAAGGTCATGAGACGAAGAAACCTATTGATTTTCAACAATATCCGATAATTACTGCCAGAGTTATGGCCCTTGATCACTTCAAAAAATCTTGTGGATGCTCTAGTGGCTAAAGTTAATATCCGATTGACATTAAATTTATACACAGTGTTTAAGGTCATAAGATGATGAAGCCTGTTGGTTTTCAGCGATTTCTGATAATTACTGCCAGAGTTATGGCCCTTGATCACTTCAAAAAATCTTGTGGATGCTCTAGAAGCCAA